CAGGTGACGCAGCCAGCTCTGCTCCAGCTTGGCTTGGTTGGCCATCCAACTGGTTACCTAGTTTAAACACTAACTGGTTTAAACTGTTAACCTTTTACATCCCTTGTGACCAAGGCCACAATGCTAACTGGTTTAAATGGTTAACCTTTTACATCCCTAATGACCAAGGCCACAATTCTGCTGATGATTAGTGAGCCAGAAGACAGTCCAACTTTTACGCTATTGTAATGGCTCTGCAGGGCTAACAGTGCTGAAAAGCAATAGACTTTAGTCATTTATGTAAATAGATTTGATTCTGAATACACAAGTAGAATTCCACTTTTGAATAAGAAAGTGGCATTTTATTGAATAGAACCATACTTTAGATGGACCTTTGTCTCAAGTTATATGAAAATAATTTATAGTTTTTTTTTCTTCGGATATTATAAAGACTCTTTCCTGTTATGGAGGCCAAAGAAAATTAACTTTTTTCTTCACATTTTCCTTAGTCTATATGAGATGCTTTTTACAACTGGGAGAAGAATGGAGACAAGGGAATTAGATGCAAGTTTCTTTAAAACTGCCCTGAATAAAGATGAAGCTGAAAATATTCTCAGTGAAATTAGTAATCTTAGCATGACTGAGAGAGAGAATGGCAAATACAAGAAAAAATCTGAAATCAAATATGAAAGCCTTTGTCCAGTTCCTCAGAATGTTCTCTGTCTTGGTCTGAAAACTCCAAGAAGTGCTTCAGGGATCCTACAACTGTTGCCATCTGAAGCAACTGATTTTGTGGGAGAAGAACATTACTCTTTGAAAAAAATTCCTGAATTAGGAGAATGGAGTATAACAACTTTCAAAGACCATATTATTCCCACAGGAAGAGAACTTCCTCGTACCCCTAATTATGTAAATCAACAAGGGAAATTTTTATTAGAAGCTTTAAAGGACCATATGGTACTGAATGAGAGACATCCAACAGATGTAATTGAACCTAGTCGTTCAGAATGTGATGCATTTCAATTACAAGTTGATGCTGATCTGTTAGAGAAGCTTTTGAAGGCGGAGACTTCTGTAAAGACTCGTGCTTCAGATACATGGGTTTACCCCAGGAGAAAATTTTCCATTTGCCAACATACGCAGCAGCCGGATGACAAACACAACACCACTGACATTCTAGAAAATGGCAAAGAAGTGGCATCACCTATTGTTGAGGATGAGGTAAGATATTTTTCAGTTGTTTTAGAGCTGATATTGTGTTTTATGCAAATACACTTGACCCTCCATGCTCCAGGTGTCCCTAATCTGGGAACACCTCTGGCATGGAATAGGGTGTAAAATCCTGTTTAATTGGCTAACTGGTTAAACATAGTGTTTAACCAGTTAAAGGACGCTGCTGAGGTGAAAAACACACATCCTACCTAGCCAAGCACCCTGGCTTGCTGCAGACAGAGGCTGCTCAGCCATGCCAGTGGAGCAGCCCCAGTCTGTGGCAGGCCAGGGTGCCCCACAGGTAGGGCAGTACAGTGACTCATTTCCCCTGTGGCTTTTCCCCTCTGCTCCCATAGTGGCAGGAGGTGGTGTTTGGGAGCAGCATGGAGCTGTGTGTCCCCCAAGGAGCAGGGTACCAGGTAAGCACCCTCTCCTCATCTTGCTCATGCGCAGACTCAGATCCCACAGCACCCTCCCTGGCCTGGCAAAATCTTCAGTCCAGCATACCTTGTTTCCTAGGGTTGCCAGAGTAAAGAGATTTTAGTGTAATGATTTTATAAAATTATTTATGTACGATTTTAACTGTCATAAACATGCAAACTTTTTTGGGAAAAAAGACCAGTAGTTCTGCAAACATGTGGGCATGTCTATTGAAAATAAGGATGTTAAAATGCAATACAATTATTGTATTGACTATATGATTAGTTGATAAGCGCCTCTGCAGAGCCACAGCTCTGGTAGCTCCAGAGGAGCCGACTCAAGCTGGAACTGAGCAGTCCTGGCTTGTGTCAGCTCCAGAGTCACCCATGCTGCAACTCTGCATTTTAAATATAATAAGAGCCACTGGGCTCTTACTGCATTTAAAATACAGAGGCACAGCGATCAGTGTGAGCTGGGACTGTTGGGTGCCGAAGCAGCCCCTGTTTGGGGTCGCTGTGAACAGGGGTTGCTTGGCGGCAACAGCCCCTGGCCATGGGGCCCAGCTCCCTGCTGGGACCCCTGCAGACAGAGTCAGCAGGAGGTGAGGCAGGCGGCACACCGAGATGGTGCTGGGGGGAACCAGCTTTTGAGTTGGCTCCCCCTTGCTTCCTGCAGCACTTCTGCTTTTGAAATGAGCCTCGGGGCTCTTGTACATTTCAGCAGAAGCGCCTGCAGTGGGAACTAGCGTGAACAGGGACTGAAGCAGCCCCCGCTTACGTCGTTTCCCGCTGTGCCTCTGCCTACCCTGCTCCCTGCAGAGTTGGTGCACTGGCTCCTACTCTTCCCCTCCCCACCTCCCCCCTTACTGTCTATCTTGGATAGAGGCAGCAAGGGGCGGGGGGAAGCAACTAGTCAAATGGACTGTCTGATAAGCATTTGCTTATTGAATAGTTGACTAGTCGCTTACATCCCTAGTTGAAAATGCTGTTAGTTACATTTTCAGTGACGTGTGAAATTTGGCAATACAACACTGATACCCTACCTTAGTTTTTGCAGATCAATTTTATCAGTGCCAGAGATTAGTTGTTTTCTTCTTCGCTAATAAATTAAAAACCTGGTGAGAGAGGAAGAGCTCTACTAATTCTAAAACCTCTTGAAGGCATGGGGTGAGATTATCTCAAGATGCACTTAGAAGCTTCTGAAAACCCCAGTAGGTGTCTAACTTCCACTGATTTGTTACACACCTAAGCTGGTTAAAAACTTCAGAAAATCCCACATAAAATATCTTGGAAAATCAGGTCCATGGTGATGTGAAATAATCTATCAATTGATTAGCTAACACTACTTTTGTTTAGTCAGTTTTAAATGCAAAATATGTTTTGATAATATGTTGCTTACATATTTAGCATTAGGAAATTGTATTTAATAAAATAATTTTAAAATGTTTACTTGCATATAGCTGGATTTTAATTAAATTCCAAGTTCTAAACCTCCTGCACTTTTGACATAAATCACTTGTAAAAATTATGTAAATTTTAATATTAATATTAATCTGAACAAATGAAAGTTGTACTATAGAATTGCTTAAATAAAATATGTATGTTTTTAGATACAGTAAAACTCTGATGTGCCGGACCATCAGATGCCAGACCTCCTGATGGTCCGGCACTATCAGGAACCCAGAAGTGCTCCGGGCAGCCGGACCATTGGAGCTGCTCTGCCCCCAGCTTCCCCGATTCAGCCGCTGCTAAAACTGACCAGCGGCTGACTCCAGGAAGCCTGGGGCAGAGCAGCTTTGCTTCGGGCTTCCTGGAGTCAGCCGCTGATCAGTATCAGCAGCAGCTGACTTGGGGACACCTGGGGCAGAGCAGCTGGGGTGCTGCCGGGTTGGTCCCGCAGCCCCGAGGGGCAGCGCTACGGGACCAACCTGGCAGCCCCAGCTGCTCTACCCCCAGCTTCCCCGATTCAGCCGCTGCTAAAACTGACCAGCGGCTGAATCGGGGAAGCTGGGGGTAGAGCAGCTGGGGCTGCCAGGTTGGTCCCGTAGCGCTGCCCCTCGGGGCTGCGGGACCAACCCGGCAGCACCCCAGCTGCTCTGTCCCAGGCGTCCCCAACAGCAGCTGGTGTGCTGCCGGGTTGGTCTCGTCGCGCCAAGGGTCGGCGCTACCGGACCAACCCGGCAGCACTCCAGCTGCTCTGCTGCAGGCGTCCCCGATTCAGCCGCTGCTGAAACTGACCAGCAGTGCCTGAATCAGGAACGCCTGGGGCAGAGCCGGACTATCGGAAGGGGGAACTATGAGGGGTCTGGGGTGGCATCCCCCCCACCCCAGACCCTTCATGCCCCCCCCCCTTCCGATAGTCCAGCAAATCTGATAATCTGGCACCCCCTGGGTCCTAAAGGTGCCGGATTATCGGAAGTTTACTGTAGATAGAGCATCTTCCTGGTTAGCAAGAAGAACCAAATTTAGTGGAAAGTGTATATTTAGTTATAAATCAACATCTTTTAATGGTTATCAAACAGTGAGAGTGAACATTTTCTTTAAAATCGATTATTTGACGCACTCTGATTGTGGCCCTCTCCCCTTGTGGCCCCTAGGTCAGCCAGGCAAATTGCCTGGCCCATACTGCCCTGGACGGGATCTGGGCAATGCCCAGTAAGTCTTCTAGTAGTCTTAGAGATAGGAATAGGAAGATTTTTAAAAAAATAGATTGTTTGAAATCCACACTGTAGTTTTTTTAGGAATTTGTTGCATAGTTAGGTTCTGATCCTGAATTTGGCTTGCACAGGCAGATCTTTGTGACCATGTGGAGATACAGTTACTTGAATAGGATTTTTTGTGGACAGATTGCCCTGATGAAATCTGTAGAGTGTAAATATCTGCCTTCATGAGTCCAGTTTCAGGAAAGACAGCTACAGGTAGTAGTTTAGTTGTTTAGAAAGTGCATGTTGTTTTTTCACAAATGCCTCTAAAATTCATTGCAAAGCCAAGCAAAAGTCCCAGATGACCATTTTAAGAAGAGCTCTTAAAAGACAAACTCCTAAAATAATTCACAAGGAAAAAGTGAGGTTTTCCAGGAATAAACTTACTACTAAGGTATTTAAAGCTATTATCTGCTTTCTACAGCCCATTTTGACTAATCCAAGAGCCTGTCTATACACAGATTGCTACAGCTGCAGCAGTTTTAATGCTTCAGTGTAGATGCTATCTACAGCAATAGGAGAGGTTACCTCCTGGAGAAATGGTAGCTAGGTTGACAAGAAAATTCTCCCATCAACCTAGAGTTGTCTGTTCCATGCTGTTGGCTTAACCGCATCGCTTAGAGATATACCATCAACCTAGTTTTCCAGTATAGACCAGGCTTTATGTAGAAAGGATTGAATGCTCAGTCACTTGTATATTGAATCCCTGTATATAGAACCTGCTCCTGAATTCTATCCTCCTGTTCAACAGCTATTGTACAAAGAAGCTTATATTCTTTATGTAGCCTCTTTTTGGTTTACTAATAGTAAACATCTGCCCTTTACAGCGAAATTTACATGAACAAATTGAACCGCTGCAAGATTGTCCGGTACCAAAGTGTTTCACTACTACTTCAACAAACAGGAGAATAAGTGAGATACCAGTTCAAGGCATGTACTGGTTTTGTTATCTTTATAGAGAGCATTTTGTTTAAAATATGCTTGTCCATTAGTTTGCTTCTGAATGTGTTCCTAATGTGTTCCTAAATATATCACAATTCATGTGCAAGTTTAGGATGGGTGTGAAGACTTTAGTAGTACAGGTTGAACCCCTCTAGTCCAGAACTTTCTGGTCTGGAAAAATCTGTTATCAGGAATTATTTTATTTATCTGGATGTCCACTTTTCATAAGTGTGGCCAAATTTCTCCCGGTCCCATACAATTTGTCTACAGCCACTAGGCCTAGCTCTGCATTCTGTGCTGTTAATTATCTCTAATTTACCCCAAATGTCCTCTAACAAACCTCGTAGCATTGGAAATATTGCTAGACAACATTGACCTTTCGTGGTCTGAAAAATTCTCTTGTTTGAAACTGCTTGGGTGCTGAACTAAAGTTTCAATCGGTACCATTGCAAATAAAATCTATTGCTCGTTCTATATTTATCTAATTTTAACAGTGCCTATTTTCATAGTTATAAGGTAATTTATTTAGGTTACTGTCATCAGAAGGGCTCAACAAAGCATTGAATCTACTTGCCCGTGGTGAGTAGATTTCAGCTGAGCGCCCCGCCCCGTTTGTTTTTGGCGCACGCATGTGCAAGGCCCATATTGCGCATGCGCAGTGCGGGGCTGGCGAGTGGCTTTTTCTGCCATTCATCAAGCCCTGGTCATCAGCATACCTTGTTTTTTAGTAATGTTTGTTCTAACATCTAGAACCAGAAAAAATTCAAAACAAAATCTAGCTAAATCAATTCACCAAGCGCTGGACTAAGTAAATGACTTTAATTCTCCTTTGTCATTCCGAGGCCTTGTATATGAATCTCTGGGAAAAGTGCTAACATGCAGTCCCCATTTTCTGATTTTTGCTTTTTTTTTTTTTTTTTTTTTTTTTTTTTTTTTTAATGGACCACACTTCCACAGAGGAGACACCTTTCCCTGCATGGTAGCTATGCCTAGTGCTTCTTCAGTAATGGCAGTCACCCGCTGTGCAGCGTCCCACCAAGCCCATGTATTTTCACATTCTTGCAACACTTATTATTATAGAAGTTGGAGAACAGAAGACATGAGTTCTGTCTTCTTTCCTCACAGCTTCTTGTCAGTTTCTTCACAATATATTTTGTATTGCTGTCCAGCCTTATTTAAAATGACTTGCAGGGCTTCCAACACTTCCCAAGGAGACAAGTCCATGGCTTAATAGATGTTGTTAGAAGCATTTTCCTGTTTGCAGTTTTTCTACTTAACTTTGATTCTATTTATCATGCTAGAGCATCGCTATTAAACTTGAAGTTCTGCTTCCTCTCACTTTCAGAAAGTTATGACACTGAAAATATTTCTGACTTTGTGTCTTATTTGTTTAAAGCTTTTTAATGATTGATCACGGCAGCTTCTAAAAGAGGTGTCTGATACAGGCAGCACTGGTTTGTTTGTTTTTGTTTTGTTTTTATTGCGGCTTTAAAGATTAGCAGGAGATCTTCATTTAAAATTCTCTGTACAGTGTTTTTCCCAGTACCGTCCTCTGTAGCGTCTCATAAGTTATTAGAAAGGAAGTCCTTGCTTTGCTTATCGAATACAAAGCAGACAGCTTCTTTCCTGTTTTTACCATGCTAATAAGTGACTTTTTGCTCACCTCATAATTGTCAGAGCATTTTAAGAGCTAAATCTTTATTCCTATTAAAACTGATGCTAAATAACTCCCATTGACGATAGTGGCACTGGATCTATCCTGAGATTTGGAGCATATACAGATACTTGGCAGTAATGAGCCTCTATTTTAGCTTCTAGTTCCTTGAACTGTTTTTCTGTTTTGATTAGGGTTGAATGAGATGAATGTATCAATGATGATTAACAGAATAAAAGACTACCAATGCACTAAAGAAGATATAGAATTCCTTCGATACATGAAAAATAGAGAACAAGCACAGAAATTGAAGGTAAGGTTGTCTGTCTTTTAGTCTCCATCTTAAAATGTAAGGATCACAAAAATCCGTTTAGTCATCTCTCTTCCACTCCCTCACCCCCACATAGACTAGGAAGAGGGCACTTAGAACTATTGGTCACTTTGTAACAGTGCAAGTTCTCTAATAAGAAACCAAATTCTAAATCTCTGGTATCACTTTGCTGCCACAAAGTTGTGCACTTCTTTTGAGTTATTGTACATATGTATTCCACTCTTGGTGTGCTCTCCTACACAGTTATTGAGATTTTTCCCCTTTGGGCAGCTCATTTGTCCTCTGATGACATGTATCCCTGCATTTGTGAGGGTGAGGGGGGGTTAGCTTTCAAATTCAGTCCAGATTGTTAATATCTAATAACAGTTTGTAATTTGTGTGAAATAAGTTTAGTCTAGCCAGTAGTCAAGTAGCTCAAAACTGTGTCCTGGTACTGATTTTACTCCTAGGGGAATTCTGCATGTGCAATGCAGAATTTGCGTAAAATTTCATGTTTTGTTTGCAGAATTGGGGTTGCAGAGCCACTGGCCATCCTAATGGGGATAGAGTCTGTGCTCACTCTGGCTGACCAGCTTGACCCTCATTTGCCTGGGGATGGGAGTGGACCTGGGAGATCTGACTCTGGCAAAGGGCGAGGAAGGCCAGGGCCATGCCCCGTCCCTTCTGTCAGGAAAAAGTATACAGAGAAGAGCCTATAGCTGGGCTCGAAAGGTAGGGGACATCTGTCTGGGTCAGGAAGTCCCTCACAGCCCTCTCTAGCACCCTCAACTGGATATGAGTTGTCTTAGAGGTTTCATTAAGTGTCTGCTCCTGAGTGAATCATTTTTGTTTTCTGCATTGACAGCATACTTGCTGATAGGCATTTTGAAATACATTGAGAAAATAATTAAAACTGGTGTGATATTGTGTTATTTTGGCAAATAAAATACACAGAATTTTGCAGAATTTTAAAATAATGTGCAGAATTAAGTTTTTGGTGCAGAATTTCTCTGGTAGTATAATTTGTACCCTTTTTAGTAGTCTGAGAGACCAAAGATTAAATGGGCATCCTTTTATCCATGCGTGTTCAGAGCTGAAGCAAACTAGCAGGGCAGCTGGGGACATTTGCACTGCTAGTGCTCTATCTGTAATGGAGGTCTCCAGAGCTGTCAGTCTAGTAAGTTTGGGAAAGAGCATAACTAACTTACTTTTTATAAATTTCTTGATCAATGTCTCCAGGATTGACATTATAGTACAGTATGAACCTACTGGCTTAGTATGGTCATAATTAGGGCTAATGTTTTCTGGAAATTGCTACTATTGCTGTGGGGGTACAGGCAGTCCCCGGGTTACGTACAAGATAGGGACTATAGGTTTGTTCTTAAGTTGAATCTGTATGTAAGTCGGAACTGGCGTCCAGATTCAGCCACTGCTGGTCAGTTTCAGCAGCGGCTGAATCAGGACGCCTGGGGCAGAGCAGCTGGGGTGCTGCCGGTTGGTCCCGTAGCGCCGCTGTGGGCACTACTGGCCCAACCAGGCAGCCCCCCAGCTGCTCTGCCCCAGGCGTCCCCAAGTCAGCCGCTGCTGAAACTGACCAGTGGCTGACTACAGGAAGCCCCTGCCCTGGGCTTCCTGGAATCAGCCGCTGATCAGTTTCAGCAGCAGCTGACTTGGGGATGCCTGGGGTTCTTAAGGTGAATCTGTATGTAAGTCGGAACTGGCGTCCAGATTCAGCCACTGCTGGTCAGTTTCAGCAGCGGCTGAATCAGGACGCCTGGGGCAGAGCAGCTGGGGGGCTGCCTGGTTGGGCCAGTAGTGCCCACAGCGGCGCTACGGGACCAACCGGCAGCACCCCAGCTGCTGTACCACAGGCGTCCGGAGCAAAACCGCGGAGCACGGGGCAGTGGGACAGCACAGACGCGCCGTGGCTGTCCTGCTGCCCTCAGGCTCCGCGGCTTTGCTCTCCTTTGCTCCCCTGGGCTGTCCGCTGCCCGCGTGTTCTGCCGCTTTGCTCCCCGTCCCCCTGGTCTGCAGACCAGGGGGACGGGGAGCAAAGGAGAGCAAAGCCGCGGAGCCTGAGGGCAGCAGGACAGCCACGGCGCGTCTGTGCTGTCCCACTGCCCCGTGCTCCGCGGTTTTGCTCCGGACGCCTGTGGTACAGCAGCTGGGGTGCTGCCGGTTGGTCCCGTAGCGCCGCTGTGGGCACTACTGGCCCAACCAGGCAGCCCCCCAGCTGCTCTGCCCCAGGCGTCCCCAAGTCAGCCGCTGCTGAAACTGACCAGCAGTGGCTGAATCTGGACGCCAGTTCCGACTTACATACAGATTCAACTTAAGAACAAACCTATAGTCCCTATCTTGTACGTAACCCGGGGACTGCCTGTATTTTAAAAAAATGCTGATCAGAGGGTGGGCAGAGCACACAGGGTCACTGACCTCCAGATCTCTGCCTGGAGACACCTAGCTCATCACCAAGGTGCAGGGCAGATCTGATGCATGGGTGGAGCATGCAGTCTCATGCCCTAACTCATTCCCCAATTTCTGCTTAGACATCAGGGCGGAGGCTGGAGGCTGGCTGGCTGTTTGACCTTGTTGCCATCTTTTCCCCTTCACATACATTCCTGGGCTTGACACAACTGCCGTGGAGTTTCTTGTTGGCAATGGAGTGCCAGGCTTCCTCACTACGGTGCAGAGCAGATAGTACTTTTACTGACTTTTGGCAGCATCTACTGCACTTTTTTGGTTCATGCAGCTTGCTCCGGCTCCTGCTTCCAGCACACAGCTGGTCTAGGTTTTCAGTGCCAGCATCTATTAAAATCACTTGGGAACCTAATGATCTGAAAAGCTATGAAGTTGAAATATAATACAACAGGTCATTTTCTCTGTAACAATATAGTATTGTGTTTGTACGGTAACACAGAAATAAAGCTTGCAACTTACATGGCTTAATAAAAACAGATATTGGCCATCCTAGGGTGAGAGATGCTGATGAATAGCTCTGTAAATGTGTGTAACAGTAAAAGCAAAGTTATGTGCAATACAGACTGGTAAGCAACCAGCTCCAATATTTTATCTGATTTTTAACTTTACACAGTGGCTTGGGGGTTGTTTGTTTGTTTGTTTGTTTGTTTGTTTGTTTTTAAATGAATCACAAATGTTTTTAGTAAAAAGTTTGTTTTATTTTTGTATACTCCAGATTATTTTTTATTTTTATTAACTGGAAATGCTTTGTATTTATATACAGTACTTAAATAACTTTTGTATGTGATACTAAGATCCAAACTGCTTTTGCAGGCAAAATATTTACATCTACAAAAGGAACTAATCAGTGTGGTTCAGACAAAGGAGCTGCTCCTGGCACAGCGAAAGAAAGTGCACGAAGAGATTGTACATATGGTAACTGACCAATTCTGTATAAGCTATGATGCATGATTAATACTGCCAAGTTTTGTTTCCTTTCTTCAGTTCAAGTAATAGTTTTTATATTGATTGGATAGGTCTTGTGGTTTAATGTTCTATATAGGGAGAGGGATAGCTCAGTGGTTTGAGCATTGGCCTACTAAACCCAAGGTTGTGAGCTCAATCCTTGAGGGGACTATTTAGAGATCTGGGGCAAATCTGTCAGGGATGGTACTTGGTCCTGCTGTGAGGGCAGGGGACTGGACTTGATGACCCCACAAGGTCCCTTCCAGTTCTGTGAGATGGTATATCTCCATATATCATCTTCTTATTATTATTGTATTGCTAGAGTATCTTCCTGTGAGTGCATAGGGTGGGAGTTCCTTGTGGTGCTAAACAGCAACTTATAGAAAATGAGCAATAACTTGTTTGCCTGCTCTCTAGTGTGCCTATGTTTGTTTGAAGGACCTAAAAGGAGTTGTGGTTGTGAGTGAAGGTGGTTTAAACCTTCATATGAAGAATGCTTGTGTAGGTGTGCTATGATCTTTGTATTTCATAAGTTATTGTGTTGGATCAGAACTTCGATGTGGAAGATCTAAAAATACCCAGATAGTGCAGGAAGTAGTCTTACTGATTCAGAAGTGTCATGCTTCTAAATTAGTTGCTACTGAACCAATGGCAAAGCATGGTGCTAGACACCTTTATGCTGCTGCAGATCTTGCTTTTAAGATGACATCTTCTAATAAACACCTGATCATTTGTAGTTTTTAGAAGTATGAGTGTTTAATAGCGTTTACCATCTGTTAACCAAGTATATGTGCATTCTAACATATGAAACCTGCTGATTTGTGCAATAAATGTGTTTTTTCCTGTTAATGAAACACTGCATTCTTCTTCGAGTGCTTGCTCATGTCCATTCTGATTAGGTGTACGTGCGCCGCGTGCACGGATTCCGGAGCTTTTTTCCCTTAGCAGTATCCATAGGGCCAGCAGGGAGCCCCCTGGAGTGGTGCCGGTATACCGGTGCAGGGCCCCGCACCGTACTATGCACCATCTGCGGTGCCACAGCAGGTGCCCCGCACGGCACCGACGCTGATGCCTCTCCCGGCACCGATCCCTGCTTACACCTTGGGAGCGCAGCAGCAGGGTGCGGCGCCGCTGCACATGACGGCACCGGAGGGTTATGTACCGGCCTATCAGATGCAGCTGGGCAGGGTACCGCCGCAGCAAGGACCTCCACTCATGCCCCCACCAGCACTGCGTGCGGTGCACAGGGGTAAGCCACCAGCCATGGCAGCCCAGGGAAGGGTGCAGGCTTCATCGGCCCCTCCCTGGTCAGCATCAGAGTACTCTTCAAAGTCGGAGGCCGAGTTGGTGGCATTGGCCAGGTCTTCATATAGGTCATGGCCCCGTCATAGGTTCCGCTTATCGGTCAGATCATCTCACTGGGAGCTGGCAGTTGGAGGCCGTGTCGGTGGCATCGGCCAAGTCTTCATATAGGTCGCGGCCCCGTCATAGGTCCCACTCATCGGTCAGATCATCTCACCGGGAGCCGGTGGACCAGCAGCAGTGGCAGGGGCAACCCCAGTGGGCTTTCTGGACGCCCTAGGCATACCACCAGGCCCAGGGGCCTCCCCCTACGGGGCCGGCAGCGGGGTCGTCCCGAAGGAGTAGCACTCCGTCTGCCACCCCCTTAACAGCCCCCCTGCCTGGAGACAGCTTGTCTATGGTGGCGATGCCAAGACCCCCGGTTATTGGTCAGGGGCAGGGGGCTATGTCCCAGCCGGGCTCAACTTATGTGGAAATCTCTGCCCAGGGGGAACCAGGGGCACAGATAGCTGAGGAAGAGGCAATTCCCTCAAGGGAGTTCTCGTCCTCTTCACCAGACGAGGCCCTGGCTGACCCCGTGCCCCAGCCCCCATCGATGGACTCCAGGGCGCACCAGGAGCTGCTCCGAAGGCTGGCGGTCAATCTTGCGGTCCAGCACAAGGAGGTTCACGAGGACCTGGATCCTATGGTGGACATCATAGCGGCAGCGGGCCCTGGTCGAGTGGCGCTCCCACTGAATAAAACGGTGGACAAGCTGGCTTTTATTGCACCGACCCGGAAGGGTGTCGAGAGAAGGTACTGTGTACTCCAGGAGGGGCACGAGCATCTTTTTACCCACCCAGCTCCGGGATCCATAGTGGTTCAGGCCGCTGGGCAGAAGGAGCGCCAAGGGCCTCCAGGTCCTACTCTGAAGGCGAAGGAGCCTAGGAGATTGGACCTACTTGGCCGGAAGGCCTACACCACGGGGGGCCTCCAGGTGCATATAGCTGACCAGCAACTGATGCTGGGGCGTTATGCTTTTAACACATGGGTGTCTATGCAGAAATTTGCCAGCCAGCTTCCTCCCGAATCCCGCCAGGAATTCGGGGCCCTGACGGAAGAGGGACAAGCAGTGGCGCGTACTTCTCTCCAGGCGGCCTTGGACGCAGCTGATTCGGCAGCCCGCACTATGGCCACAGGGGTTGTTATGAGGCGTAGTGCCTGGCTGCAGGTGTCTGGCATCCCACCCGAGGTGCAGACCACCATTCAGGACCTACCCTTTGAGGGGCCGGCCTTGTTTTCAGAGCAGAGTGATTCCAAGCTGCGTAGCTTGAAGGACTTATGAGGCGTAGTGTGTGGTTGCAGGTGTCTGGCATCCCACCCGAGGTGCAGACCACTATTCAGGACCTGCCTTTTGAGGGGCTGCGATTGTTTTCAGAGCAGACTGATTCCAAGCTTCATAGCTTGAAGGACTCAAGAGCGACCCTGAAGTCGCTAGGGATACATACCCCGGCACCTCAGAGGCGCTCCTTCCAGGCTAGACCCTATCCCAGACGGCAAAACAATGACGGGCCACAGGAGAGGCCGCAACAATAGCCGCCCTGACCTCTTCAGAGGCAGGCGTAGGGGCCCTCGGTCGGACTCCGAGAGGGGCACAGGGCCGTCACCCGGTCACCAAACTGAGCCCTCATTTTGAAGGTACGCCAGAGAGCAGAGTACCAGTCGCACCTACCTACCTACTCTTTGGGGACCGTCTTTCCCTCTTTTACCAGGAGTGGATAAAGATCACGTCGGACCATTGGATCCTAGATCTGGTAAAGCAGGGGTATACTATCCCCTTTCTTTCCTACCCTGCCTCCCACCCCCCCTCCCCTTCCCTCTTCATGGACCCTTCTCACGAGACACTCCTTCGGCAGGAGGTGTCCAACCTGTTGGCGCTAGGGGCTATAGAAAGAGTCCCCCCAGACGTGAAGGGAAAGGGTTTCTACTCCCGCTACTTCCTAGTACCCAAGGCGAAAGTGGGCATGCATCCCATATCAGACCTCCGAAACCTGAACGCCTTCATAAGGAAAGCAAAGTTCAGGATGGTGACGCTGGCTTGCGTCATCCCTTCGCTCCAAAAGGGGGACTGGTATGCTGCTCTCGATCTCAAGGATGCGTACTTCCACATTTTGATTTTTCCAAGTCACAGAAAGTTCCTACGGTTTGTGGTGGGTCAGGACCATTTCCAGTTTACGGTCCTCCCATTTGGGCTGTGTACGGCCCCGAGGGTTTTTACCAAATGTATGATGGTGGTAGCCGTGTTTCTGCGGCGTAACAGGGTCCAAGAGTTTCCATATCTGGACGATTGGCTGATAAGGGGCACGTCTCGAGAACAGGTGATAGGTCACGTCACACAGGCAAGGGCATTGTTCGGAAACCTCGGCCTCCTCATAAACGATGCCAAATGGTCATTAGACCCCACGCAGGTGATAGACTTTGTGGGGGCCCATCTACACTCACCCTCGGGGACGGCGTCCCTACCAAGGGACAGATTCCTGGCTATCCGCTCATCGGTAGCGGAGCTGCAGGAGTTCCCAACTACGACAGCAAGGACCTGTATGAGGCTCCTAGGCCACATGGCGGCGGGCACTTACGTGGTCCAACATGCCAGGCTGCACATGAGCCCATTGCAGGGGTGGCTCAAAGTAGCGCACAACCCTCTGAGGTCGCCGCTAGATGCGGTAGTGACTATACCTCAGGACATTCTTTGCTCGTTAGACTGGTGGAAGGATGAGGGCACGGTGTGTGCGGGAGTCCCATTCACCAGAGCATCCCCATCAGCACAGCTGGTCACGGATGCTTTGGACATGGGATGGGGCACTCACCTGGGTAACCTCAGGACACAAGGTACGTGGTCGCCAGAGGAGGTTCCCCTCCATATAAATATCAAGGAGCTACGGGCAGTCAGGCTGGCCTGCAGGGTGTTCCTTCCCCACTTACAGAACAGTGGTGGCGGTGCTGACAGACAACACTACAGCCATGTTCTATATCAACAAGCAGGGTGGGGCGTGTTCCTCTCCCCTGTGCCAGGAAGCCCTAGATCTATGGGAACTGTGTATCCCACGGTATTTTCCTGGAGGCATCTCACCTTCCGGGAACCAGGAACGGGCTAGCGGAGAGGCTCAGCCGTTCGATCCAGGCGCACGAGTGGGTGCTACGGTGGGATGTACTTTACGGGGTCTTCCAAAGGTGGGGGTTTCCCCGCCTGGACCTGTTTGCAACTCTGAGCAACGCCAAGTGCAGGGAGTTCTGTTCGTACATGGGGCACGGTCTGGGCTCTCGGGGAGATGCACTGCAGGTCAGCTGGCCCAGGGGCCTACTCTATGCCTTCCCCCCCATTCCCTCTGATCCACGACGCACTCCTCGGAGTGCAGAGGTTCAGGGCCCGGATCATCCTGATAGCGCCAGTATGGCCTCAACAGTACTGGTTCACCAGCCTGGTGGATCTGACTGTAGAGAGCCTGCTCAGGCTACCCCAGTGCCAGATCTAATCACTCAGAGCTGCGAGGCCGGGGTGACACTCCACCTGAGCCTTCCATCTCTCCACCTAGCAGCGTGGCTCCTCAGTGGCTCCCAGTGTCGGAGCGAGCCTGCTCCAGAGGAGTCCAGGAGGTCCTCTTAGCCTTATAAAGGGCTCTAGTGGACGGCTTTCTGCTTTCTAAGTGGAAGAGGTTTACTTCTTGGCTGGAGGGCAGGACGCTCGCTCCAGGTGAAGGGGCGGTTGGAAACAGGGCCTGGCCACAGCCTCCCTAAGGGTGTACCTGGCGGCCATAGCGGCCTTCCACGCCGGGGGGGGGCAAAGGTCTATCTTTGCCAATCCCTTGGTTAAAAGGTTTCTAAAGGGAGTCGACAGGATGATGCCATATGAGAGGCCTCCGGTACCAGCTTGGGACCTTAACCTGGTCCTGACTGCCCTTATGAAGCCCCCGTTCGAGCCCCTGGCTTCATGCTCTTTGATACATCTGTCCTATAAGGTAGCTTTCCTCGTGGCCATTACCTCGGCCAGGTGGGTGTCAGAGATTAGGGATCTCACCTCAGAACCACCTTACACGGTGTTTTTTAAAGATAAGGTGAGGTTGCGTCCACACCCGGGGTTTCTTCCCAAGGTGGTCTCGCACTTCCACATGTCCCAAGATATTTCCCTGCCAGTGTTTTACCCCAAGCCCCATGCCAAAGATATTTATCTGCCAGTGTTTTACCCCAAGCCACATGCGTCACCCAGGGAACAGGCTCTGCACTGCCTGGACGTTAGGAGGGCATTGGCTTTTTATATAGATAGGACACGAGAGTTTCGTAAGTCAACTCAATTGTTTATTTCAGTGGCGGAAAGGATGTGTGGTCAGCCAGTCTTGGCACAGCGTATAGCCTCGTGGATTACTTCCTGCATTCGACTGTGCTACGAAGGCGCTGGTAGACCAACGCCGCGCATAACAGCACATTCCACTAGAGCCCAGGCAACGTCGGCGGCGTTCCTGGCCTGCGTGCCAATCTTGGAAATCTGCAGGGCAGCAACCTGGTCATCGGTGCACACCTTTGCAGAGCATTATGCAATCACGCAGCTGGCCAGGGAGGATGCTGCCATCGGGACGGCAGTTCTGTGTTCTGCAGAATAATAAAATAGTAGTTAGTCACCTTCCGACCCCGCCTCCGGAGGGGGGACATGGCTGGGGACTCGCCTAATCAGAATGGACATGAGCAAGCACTCGAAGAAGAAGAAGAAGAGGTTACTTACCTCGTAACTGTAGTTCTTCGAGATGTGATGCTCCTGTCCATTCTGCATCCCACCCACCTCCCCGTGTCAGAAGGAGCCGGCAAGAAGGAACTGAGGGGGTGGGAGGGCCAGCAGGGGTATATATGCACTGGTATACTGGCGCCACTCCAGGGGGCTCCCTGCTGGCCCTATGGATACTGCTAAGGGAAAAAAGCTCCGGAATCCATGCACGCGGTGCGCGTACACCTAATCAGAATGGACATGAGCAACACATCTCGAAGAACTACAGTTACGAGGTAAGTAACCTCTTCTTTTCTGTCTTTACTTTAGAAAGCCTCTTATGATAGAACAGTCGAACTTGGAAGAGCATTCCTGGGTAAGAGAACGGATCCTGACGCTGTTGAAAAGTTGCCACCAAAAGCTGTGCTTGGGCAACTGAATCCTGTGAAACTGCAGCTTACCCAACAGAAGGAGAAGGCTGAACTTCAGGCACTACAAAAAGAGCTAAAGATGCTAAAACATTCCCTTGCCCAGTTGCCTCAGAAACAGGAAATAAGGTAGAAGAAACCAGTAGGTTTAGAGGTTTTTTTGGAGGGGAGGGAGGTTGAAAATCTTTTTCTAATTAATACACTTAATTGCAACTTCATAGTGTTTAAACATACCATGACTAAAGTAGGACTGTGGAATAAACGTAAGCTACAGCTTCCCTTCCTCCCTCAACCCCTCTCCTCTCCCAGTTTGAGGACTCGGAAGCCTAATGTAAGAAAGCTGTGCTTGGGCAACTGAATCCTCAGGCTCCATTCAGAATAGAATGGCACTGTATTTACATAAGACTTTTTTTTTGCCAGTAACTCAAATAACTGGGTGGGTAGGGGGAGAGAATGCATGTAGTCGGTAGTATTAACCGATGATAACTTATCCCCTGAAAACTTAGCTTTGCTGCCAGAGGGAAACCTCCCTTGGAGCAGAGTGAGCAGCTCTTGCCTAACCAGTTCCCAGCGAGGAAGTTCACTGACCTGCAGCAGCGAAGTCACCTTCCCCAGGACTTTAGTGTAACTGACACCATTAACCATTGTTTAAACATTTAGTTTGCGCTCTAACATCCCTTGTTTAAAAGCCATCCTTATATATAATACAAGTGCAAGCTGGGTTTTGTGTCTCAGGCTGGATTGTTGAATTACATTAAAGGGATGCAGAGAAGAAACTAAGTGTGGTGGACTTATTACCATGTATGTAGCGCATTCTGCGGGAGTAGAAAAGTTGAGCTGTGAGAAACTTTCTATAAATATGGAGTAATATATTCTGGCAAGCATGGGGCTCACTTGTGCAGTTCCTAAGCTATCTGTTGATATTGGGTTAACTGCATACTGAATAGATGTCTAAATGCTGCACTCTAGTTAGGGATGTTAAGTGTGTAATTCGTTAATCGTATAGTTGACAAAAGTGTTGACAACAAGCACTCAGTCCCAGCTTGTGCCGGGTTCTGGGAGCTACCCTCACTGTGGTTCTGCACTGAAAGTATTGTAGGAGCTGCGGTAGCTCCTGGAGTCGGTGCCAGCCAGGACTGAGTTGGGCTACTGGTCAGCCCTCTAAAAAAAAATTTACTGGGGGGGGAATGCATGTATTGGGGTAGTGTTAACTGTTTAATTGACCACACTATTACATCCCAATTCCTAATTGTCCATTCAGCTGTACAGAGAGGGAGGGCAACAAGTGTTAGCATATGCCTTATATGGGAAGATAAGAAATGTCACAAATACAAAACATCAGGGTCCAAATTGTGGGTGCATGCAAAAGTTGCTGTGAACAAGTACCACTGATTTCACTGTGTCAGAAGAGGTTCCCCAGTTGTTAAGCCCTTGAAAAGTCTAATTTCACTGCATTTCAGTTAATGTGCATATTTCAAATCATGCTCTCAAGGCTCCATTCAGAATAGAATGGCACTGTATTTATTTAAGACTTTTGCCAGTAACTCGAATAACCAGCATTTGAACTGATTTGAGTTCCATGCCCAATGCTAATTGGAATTACACCTATTTAAAAGTGAATATGATCCTTATGCACAGGGCTCAACAAATAGTGTAATCTATTCGCTTGTTGCGAGTAGATTACACCCAGGAAGAGCCGGCGCGGAGCGATCTGCGCATGCGCAGAACCGCGCGGCTGGCGAGTGGGGCTTACCGCCGCTCGGCGTGCATAACTCCTCAGTGGTGGCAAGCATACTGAGGTACAAGCATGCAGAGCCTATCTGAGAATACTGATGGCACTAAATGGTCTTTTGAACTGTATCTAAGAAGCAGTTTGCTGCATTGATTTCATTGTGGCTTAAAACCACCTATATTTTTCGAACAACCCTTCTTTGAAGAAGTCACTTCTTTGAAGGATTTAACATAACGTCATGCAAATTCTTAAATTAACTAAATATTCCCCTTTCGTCCCTGTCCTCTGGCCTGTTGACACCAATTTATTAAAAAGGCTGTAATTCCATAAAGGAGTTCTGATGACCATCAGAATTAGAGAGCATACTAAGGACACTTTTAATGTGTGTGTTTTCCAGGCTGGAAAGAGGGTTTTGTAAACAACGGATACAGGAAGCAGAACACAGCGTACAGCAAGCACAAGTATGTTCCATTATCTTTGTTGCCATTATCTTCAGAAATAACCTCTCCTCCTAATAATTCCCATGGCTTTCTAGAGTACAGTATACAGACTTGTAAAGAAATAGTATCTGGGATACAAGTTCAGCAGATAAAATGGTTTGCAGCATAAGATGATGGAAGGGCTATGGGAGTACAGAAAGAAGTGTGTTTATGGAAAAAAGACAGAGGCCTGGTCCATTGAAAGTAGGTGATTTGTAGTAAGTGGTGGTGGCGGCATGATAAAGGTGCAGAGATTGAAGCCCAATTTCCCCACTCACTATTACAAAGCTTGCAGGTTAAGATTACTTACTTTTGTAAAGCAGGGGTGCGGGAACGGTAAAATTGCTTATTACAAATAGAGCCTGTGCACGTTTTTTATGGAGCTTTCATGAATTTTCTGGTTAAAAAATAAAGATTATGCTTTAGTAGCTCAGGCAGCTGCAGCACCTTCAGTTTAGTTTATGGGGGAGCCTCAGCCTAGAAATAAAAAGGAAGGACATGAGGCTGATCATGTTGACAAGAAAAACTAAGCTGTACACATCCAAACATTTGGACTGTTTACGGATCGGTAGCAAATTTGGTTGACTTTTTTTTCCTTCCATGTGAAAAACCTTTTTGCTCATCTCTAGAGATAAGTAAACTAGAAGTGCAGAACTTTTGTAGCCTGGAACTGTGCTGTAAGCATTTCCTTTAAGGCCCTGGTCACCAACCCGTCAATTGTGAGGCGTTTGGGGGCCCTCCCCATCTTTTCCCACCCCCAAGAAGCCCCACTACCTACCTCCAGCGACAATGGAGATGGTGCCAGCTTCCTGCGGGGTGGATGGAAGTCCTGCAGCTGCGCGCCACTTCCGGAGCTTCTGGAAGTGTGCTGGCTGTTCCCCTCCCCTAGGTTTGTGTGGCGTGCCGGAAACTTGGGTGGGGGGGCAGAGTCAACAGAGGAGGCACATACTGGGGCTTCCCTGCAGGGGCGGGGGATGAGGGGGGGAAATCCTGGGAGGAGGCAGGTGCGGGGGGTGCCCTGTCCCCTGTTCCCACTGGCACCCTGTCCCCTCTCCCCGTCCCCCACTGGCACCCTGCCCCTGTCCCTACTAGCACCCTTACCCAGTACCATGTCCCTTCCTCCCACCAGCACAGTTGGGGCCATATTAGTGAGGCTTGGCAGTTTTTTGGTGGCGTGGTTTTTTTTTTGTTTGTTTGTTTTTGTTTTTGCATCTCGCATGTATAGCCTCCAAATGACTCTTCTTTGGGTCAGTGACCCCTGACTCAAAACAGGTTCCCTGCCTTTCTCATAAAGACAACGTAGAAACTTTTTTGTTTGACACTGTATTTTATTTAAAAATGAAGCCTGGCCAACAAACCCTCAATTGGGGGCCAAGCCCCCATCTGGCCACAGCCTCATAACACTCCTGGGCACACGTGCACACACCCTAGATCTGAGCCCATCATACACTGCACCTCCCTGCCCCGAGCCTCTCACATCCACAAGCCTGTGGCTTGCTTAGTACACCAACCCTCCTGAGCCTGGAGCCTCCACCCCCACAAGTGTCCCCTTCTCCTGCATCCAAATTTCCTCCCAGACCTTATACCTCACCCCTTCCCGCACCCAAATCCCTCATTCCCATCCCAGGGCCCACACATTCTGTCTCAACACAGCGAGGGTACGGCTAGAGTGCAGGAGTTTTTCCAGGATTCCAGAGAGATCATGGAAAAACTCTTCTAAATCCAGGGATGCATTTGTTCTTCCACTTGTTTTAGTGGAAGAGCAAACATGGTCTTTCGGTAACCCCTGTATTCCTTGTTCCACAAGGAATAAGGGGGCTTCTGAAAGAAGGGTTTTTTCCGACATTTGGTCCAGTCTAGACAGGCCAAATATTGGAAAAAACCTCTTCTTACAGAAGAATCTAAAAAAAAAAAAGCAGCAGTGTAGAGTGCTTAAGGGCTGGGGATAGCAAGTGATGGAGAGGAGAAGAATAGCGAGGGCAGGGCAGGGTCTTGGGGGAAGGATGGGATGGTAGATCTTGGCTTGTTCTGACATGTAAAAAGGTTGGAGACCACTTCTTTAAGGTGCCCTCCTATTTGATTTTCAGTGACTGTAGAGGATAACAAGAAATGTATGTACAGTGTGGCTTCTCCATCATTTTCACAGGCATTGGGGAGCAGATACGAAATTCCAGTACATATTATGCCCTGCACCATTTGCAGGGGCTGCTGTACTCTGTCCATGGGATTAGCCATCTATAATTCACTTAATAGCTATTGCATTTAATCTTTATTTTCTACCAGGAAGATGTGGAGCATCTGAAATGCAAAATTGAAGCAGCAAGGTCAAAACTAGCAGAAGTTCAGGTCAGTCATGAATGTGGGTGCAGTGTTTTGGAGGAGGTGGGGCTGTGGCACACTCTAAATGCTTGGCTTCACTGTGCAGAAATAGTAACTATAGTCCTGAGCTTTTTTTTGTTGTTCAGCTGCCCATACTAGAGATGTTAAATATCATCAGTTAATTGAATAGTTGATTAACCTCATGAATTCTTATCAGTTACTTGACTATTCTGTAGTCCCTGGGGCTGGCAGTTCCTAAGGAGCTCCCTGCCAGGTGGGAGCTGGTCTGTGAAGGGAGCCAGTGGCAGCAGTGCAGGGTGGTAGTAGCCCAGTGGGTGGGGGGACTGAGCTCCCAGACCTGATGCAAGCTGAAATGGAGTCAGGCTGCCTGCCCACCTGGCTCCTAATACACTGCAGAGCTGCAGCAGGGGTAGGTTCTGGACCTGGTGCAAGCCAGCACTGAGTTGGGCTGCTGGCCAGCATGCTTAAAAAATTTACTTTAGGGGGGAGGAGAGAAGGCATGTAGTCTATACACTTTTGTTTATCAGTTAATTAACTACATTATTACATTCCCCTCTTCCCCTGCATGTCACCTGGCAGGATATTATTCCCATTGAGACTTTTATGGCTGTCCTTGACAGATTGACCTATATATATTCCATGATCAATCTTAGCTTGGCTATGTAGCATGAGAGAACTACGGTTCCTAAATGTATTTTTAAGTGATGTTAAAGTGTTACGTAAATGTGTAACTGCTGAAAGGGGGAAGGCAGGCAGGAGCTGGTGTGCATGGGAAGGGGCTTTTAAGTCAGTTCTCTACATGTATTCTCCCCCCCTCCCCCGCAGGCTGATACAGAGGCAGCAGGGGGAGAGGGGAAAGGCACTGTGTATAACGTACACATTAACTGATGAGCCTAGGCTCATCAGTTAAACTGTAAACAGTTACTTTCACATCCCTAGTCCCAATATTCAGTATTTTATACATTCCCTTATACTAATCTAGAGACTTAATTACAAAGTAATTGTTAAATTTCAGGGAGGATTGCTTTGAAGTGGCAGCAGGTTCACTATCCTACTACCTTCACTCCTCTGTATCAGCCCTCCTCCCCCAATCTGTTCAACATAGTAAGAGATTAAGTGCACATATAATTACTAACATTAACACCCTTGAACAGTCTGTATGGTGGCTGTGTAGTCATGATTACTGTTCCCTCTGACTTTTTCCATGCATGTGCAGAATAAATGTTATGTGCACTGAGGCATATGCAGATTTTCTCCACTAGTAGAAACACATGCTGCTGGCAGTTGTGGGTACTCCACTGATGAGCTAGATGGCATTTGAATCTTTCCAGTGTGGTCAATGCAGTACTCAGTTCAAAGAAAAACCTGACCAACTATCGAAACCTTGGTTATCAGTGTCATAGCTGCTGCCCCCAAGGCAGCTTTGAAACACCAGGCATTTTTTTAAAACTTATGGCTGAGGGAAAATATGAATAGCCTCTACATCTAATTTTAGTTAATATGTTTGTATTTAACTTTTTGCCTTTTAGGTACAGCTCTGTAACACAAGAGTTGAAATAGAGAAGTGGCACACTTTAAAAGAGAAGACTACTGTTTCTCAGGTGCTGGAAAATGTCCAAGGTTTTGACAATGATTATCTTAAGAGAAGACTTAACAGACTCTTGCGAAGAACAGATATATTTTTAGAAAGGGAAAAAATTATCAAAAGACTTGGTCTTTTGGAATGAGTCTGCATCAAATCTCAGATGACTAGGTCGACTCAGCTTTTAAGGCTGGCAGTATACGTGCATTTTTCTCCACGTTATATAATCTGTTTACTCACAATTTAGATGCAGCCAGAATCATAAGATTTGTGGCTAATGACTGTTTAGAGAGAAAGACATAAGAGAACTCTAATGTGCTTAAACCATCAAGTGTGAAAGCCATCAGGAATTTTGCACTGAAGGTGAGTGGTAAAGTTAAACTATTTTTTACCACATTGTGTGTGTGTATATAAGTTATATATAATTTATGTATTAGTGCCTGTGTGAATTTAGAAGTACTTGCTTAGGTTAGGAATTAATTTTAGCTGCAACATGACACCAGGATTTTTGTAAGAAACAGTGCTTTTCATTCACCATACTATAGCATGGAGGGGTGGGGAAAGGGAAGCCTTTTCCCTCTAAACTGTTCTTTAGAAATCCTGTTGCTTTAAAACAAGTAATAAATGGAGTTGAGTTACAGTCAGCATAGTAAAATAAACTTTTACAAAATGTGAAATTAATGCTAGTAGTTTCTATAGGAAACCATGAGGGTACATAATTTTACATTTATTAAAATAGCATCGGCCCCTTCTCTTCCTATTGTTAAATGTATTATAGAAGAACTAGATTCACCTAAGCAAAAACTGAATACATAATAGTGTGGAAGGAGTACATCTTTGGCTCCTACAAGAAAAGAGCAACGTATGTAGGCTAAAAATAGTGTCATAATTTAAGGGCACTGAAATTACACTGCAACCTAAAAATGAACCCTCCATACAAAATAAGTGTACAGGGCATTCTAGTTTTAGACTCAGTATGAGTTGTCAAAGATACACATTACAACCTAGATGTTTGTTTTAAATGATCATTCTTGAACATGATTTTTATATTTATATACACACATTTATTTAAAATACATAATCAATCTAAATTCTAGCAATATATACAAATCAGTAACTACAGTACATGCTGAGGTAAGAAAGTACATTCTGGGAGAAGAATAGACATTTTTCATACCAAACAAAACATTACAATATTTTGTAGTTGTTATTGCTGGAGAACAGCTGTTGCGGGGGTCTGAACATCTTTGAGTCTAATGGAGGGAGGAGAGGTTTCATGCACTGCCCCCCACACAATCCCATTGACTGGAAAATGGCCACTGGGAGCTGCCTCTTGTCCACAAGCAGCTTGTGAAGCACCTCCCTCCCCCTCCAAGCTGTTCAAAAACCACAGGGTCTTGGAGCCAGTGTGGGGGGTGTGGCAGGCTGTCTGAGCAGGTAAGTCTCCCAGCTGGAGCCTGCCTCTGGCACCCCAAACCAGATCACAACTGTGCCCTTCACCTAAAGTCCCCCTCTTAGACTCTGCATCCCAATCTCTAACTTCAAGCTCCTAACCTCTATCCCCAACCTCCTCCATTAATATGGAAGAGTGCCCTTGACCAAATTCTTGGAGTGCATTCCCCCCTCAAATTATTACCCACCCCCACTATAGCAAAGAACCCTTCAGTGTACCTCTGGTTTTATTATACAGGGGACAATGCCACCTGTAGCTGTCCATCTCACATTCAAAAATTGAGTTAAATCTACACTACGCCCATTGGTTCAAGTTTGTTGCCAAATGTATATTATGCAGTTGTACATTAACAATATTTTGCTATTGCAGCATATACATTTAACTCATCAAATGCATGGGGCAAATGTTTTAAACGTAGCAAAAGAAACCTGAACAGATTTTGTAAACCTGGAAGGAGAACTGTATAATATTTAGGCTTTTTTAAAAAGTCCTGATCTTTTAAGATCAGTAACAACCAAATCAACTTTAAAGAATCTAAATTTTAAGAAGTTAAGTCATTACTGATTTCATCAGCTGCTTTCTATTTATAGAGACTTACTGCTGTGGAAGGATTTTGCATTGTGATGGTTTTTCCTACTAAAATTTGAATCTGCTTTAAGAAATGAGTTGCTTTGAATAAAATTCACTTGTTCTCATGTGCTCCAATTGGTACAGACGCAAATCTTTTTTCCCTGCACCATTCAAGCTATTATGAAATAAGTTGTGATGTTTGTTTTGACAGGTTGGACCAGTGCTCTGCTGCTGGGGTTTTCTGGTCCAGCTTCATTGATGGTCCTATTGGACCAAATAGGTTCGTGTAATTAAATTTATTTTAAAAGCATTGTCAGACACTTTAAAAGTTAGAATCTCCAACATCTTAGTTTCCTTTAAACAAATTAATACAATTAGGCACATACCACAGAACAAGCACCAGCTGTCAGAATTTTATCCTTCCACTAAATTACTAACCCTCTTTGTACTAGTCCATTGTTTAAACTTCCATCAGAAGGCGGATGCTTGTAGGCCTCTTTCACATTTAGAGACCAATCCTACAAAACTTTTCTGATCAGTACAAGTAGTCCTTATGAGTTGAGAGTTTGCAGGATCAGTCCTTAAAACAGTGTAGATAATCACAAATGTGATAAGTCTTAGTACCTCAGAAACAGGAGAAAAATAAATTACGTATCACATTTTATAAAAACTAAATAGCAAGGGAAAAGTCAGTAAATCTTTTTGATTTGCAGCAAGAATAAAATTTTCTAACACTGGGGAGTGGCACAGTCACTAGTTTGTATCCATTTATACAGTCCTTGGACAAAAAGCAAGGCTCCTTTGAAATATGTATATAGGAAACATTCTAACATTAAAGTCCATAAAACTGGGCTACTGTGTAGTCAAGGATGTCACTTATTTATAAATTATTGTTTATCTTCCCAACAGTGCTATTATATTATTAAAATAAAGCTGTTTTTCATTACTCATAACAAGCTGTGCTTTGTTTCCACAAGACAAGTGATTTAAAATAATTTGTCACAGTATTTGCCATCTTCAAACAGCATTTAGAGAAGGTTTAATTTTCATTTGACAAAACTATGGAGTTTTCTAATCTACCCTACATGTCTTTGACCTAATCTCTTTTTAGAAAATTGTTTCTCTTAATATGAAATTGAGCACAGCTTTTATTATAAAATACAGGTAAAGTAGAAACAATCCAGTATATGACAAATCCCATGAGTTACATAGTGGCTTCTGACCTGTTGCGCACACAAAAAATCTTGATTCTTAAAATTTATTTTTACCCTTCATTCTAGTGAAGGGTCACGAGGACCCAATTTTCAAGTGCACCTGTGCCAAAACATACCTGCTTACAGTGCACTTGCAAATAAACCATATGCACAAACTTTCACTCATGTATGTGCTTTCATTGGGCATTTTTGTGCACAAGTCTGAAAGTCTGTCCTCTCTCAGCAATACTTTCCTACTGATTTAACCCACTATGAGTTTTTAAAAAGATTAGTCTCAAATAAACCTGCAATTTCTTTGAATAACTAAATTGTCAGCCACATGGCAGAGGCAACTGGGAACATCAGAGGCTTCAATTAGGATAATTCAGTAGTCTCACTTCCTAGCAATAAACTCACAAGTAACAATTATTAAGGACACTAATCATAATGTAGTTGCTGTTTAGAAGAGAGTCAAGTCTTTGTACAGAGAGGAACCTATCCCTAGAAAAGAGCAGGGGTGCGGTTCTGTGGCCTGTAATGTGCCAGGAGGTTAGACTAGATGATCCTGGTGGTCCCTTCTGACCTTAAAAATCAATGAGACTTGGAATACGTGGCAAAGATAACATTAAAAAATTGTTCCTTCAGAAGTCACTCACCTAGAGATTTTCAGCAACTCGATTGCCAGTCACACAAAAGGCATAACACTTGTGCTAAATCCTGTTTCCAATACAGTTGGTGGTGGGACTTTTGTCCTGTAGTTCAGTTAACAGGAACAGTCCCAGAAACTTCCGTAAGAATTTTTGACGTTTTCTTCTAGGGAAGATGGGTGCAGTTCCTCAGTTCTTAGTTGTGGATTTCAGGAACAGTACCTTCAGCATTGTCTAAATGTTTGGCGCTTAGGTTATAGAAAATGTATCATTCCTCTTCATTCAGCATGGCAGTATTTCCACTATCAATCTCTGAAGTTCATCTTAGAGCATGCTCCTCATTTACAGTAGTCAATTGGATTCTCATGATTTCTCAACAGGCAAGCATTAATCATATGTATATACCTTCACAAAATGGCAGAATTGTTAGTTTCCTAGACCTTAGATATATCACATTTTGTTTAACTCCATATTACAACTTAATAATACAAAAATTCAATGTGATTGCAAGCTGACATGATCCCGTCACCTTCAATGAATTTTGTTTTAAGAACCCACATTTGCTACCCCAAGCTCATTCATTACTTACCTCAGTTCTCCTCAACTTCCTGTGAAATGAGATATACTCTGTGGTACCTGGTACACTAATTCATCTACAGAACCTGGTCCAGGCATCCCCTTTGGTGTATCATACAATGCATGTGCAGATGATGAGCTATCTGTCCTACCTGTAACTTTATTGCAAGTTCCCATTATGGGAGGAGCTTGGTTCCCTGTAGCCTTGAAAGTAGAAATAGAAGAGACACCAAGAGGTGCAGTGGGATGACCTGACATGTCCATTATTATTGGGGTTGCATATTCTGGTCCAGTGACAGGCAGTGGTTCAGCATAAGCATGATAAACCTCTTGTACAGGTGAGTTGTAAGGATCCACATCAGCATAGCTTGCTTCTTTTCCTTCTTCTGGTTTAAAGGTAGATCTTGGATGAAGTGTGCCAACAATTCCTCCTACCAGTGGTTGAGCATACTCTGTATAATACCACAAAAAAGGAGAGAAATTTACAGATAGGCAGTTTAAGTCTAGTATAGTGGCATTACATTAAAAAGAGAAGCCCCTCATTAGGAACACTGACTTGGTCCAGTGTGGTAATTCCAATGGCCCATCTATTCCAGAAGAAGGTACAAGAAATCCAGCAGTAGACTATTTTAGTGTGAGCAGTAGCACCATATATAGTTAATCTTGACAGACTTCCTATTATAAAGACCCTGATTTCACTTGCTTTATAACTGCCAAACTTCAGTTGTTTGGGCTGAAAATTTCACATGCTGGATATCTGCCTGGTAGATCTACATTTCAGTTAAAACGGTTTAGCTCTTTCCAATTCCCAGATGTCAAAGATGTGGTTTTTGCTCACCCATGAAAAATAATTTTATACATGCTCAGTAGAGTTTTGTTAGTTTGATAGGTCACTTGAGGTGCAGACTGGGAAGAAAACAAATCCTGAGTGAGAGAGACTGGCAAGGGAAGCCCTAAGACAATTCCAAAGGGTGGGGAAGAGACTAAGATGAGGAGATGGGAAGATACGTCTGGGACAAGTTGTGGGCGACATGCAGGCAGAAGGGTTTGAGCCCACTACAGAGTCGAATTAAACCCTGGATTCCTGAATCTCTACGTTCCTCTGATGTCAGCAGCAGCTTTCCTCATTCCCCTGTAGTGCTGGTCCACAAAGAAGATGGAACCTACTATTTCTGTTAGTCATTCTGTTAACTCAAATAGTAGAGGTCTGTGCTGTGGAGGCAGGGGTTTCTACAGTGCTGTTAAAAGGGTTAATATGATTTCATATGATGGAATGTGTTTTTTCAGTTTGCCTATTGAAAACACTTGTGTGGTGCTGCTGTAGTGCTATATTGAGAATGCTATTCCTCTGACGAGGGCTTCTCCCATGAATATAGTGCTATCAGCTTGGTAAAACTGCATCGCACGAGTGTGTATTTTTCACACCTCTAAGTGACAGTTATACCACTGTAAGTTTACAGTATAGACCTGGCATCAGGCATCTGCACACAAATTAAGTTGAAAGAACATTATGGTTGCCTAATCTAAACAACGAGATGACAGAACAGGTAAAGAGGATGGAGGAACATACCAAAGTAAAGTCTTGTGCTCTCTGTCTCGAGCACAAACCGGATTTCAATGATAGCAAATTCATGCAGTATAAAACATATCACACATTAAGCCAAAAACTGGTACCTGTAGACTCCTCTGTCTGTAAGATGGCTGGGACTTCTCTTGCTCTCAGGTGACTAATTTCGCTGCTGCTATAGCGAACAGGGGTATCTTCATGCTCTGCTGACTTGGCAGGGAGAAACTGCTTCATGCCTTTCCACCATCCTTCCAGATTTTAGAAATAAAAGAATAATGTAAGAACTTAAAATGTTGCTAATAAAAAGACCCTGGTAATTCATTCAAGTAAAATTACTAAAGAAGCTAAAAGCATCCTACACATTTCTTCGTCTCTGTGAGACTAGCCTGCCTTTTCTTCTCTCCCCCCAGAAATGACATGTCAAGACATTAGTTAACCCTATGTACAGGACATTTTCACTTATATAATTTCACTAAAGCAACTGGGACAGAATGACTACTCTAGCCCTGAATTTCTGTGTTACCACCATTGCTGGTCCTGCTGTGCAGATGTAGATATTTTGGTAGGCTCAAAATATAACATGGAAAATATTACTGGGGGCATTTAGGTAATTTTAAACACAAGCTTACTTGTGTTGAACAACACAAGCATTCTTTGTCAAAAGGGACTCCTGTATTAGAATTCCTATGCTACAGATTTAAACCACCCTCCACCTTTTCTCCTTCCTCTTGTAACAGCCACGTACTTTCAATACTATAAAGTCCTACAAAATGTCAGACCTACATATGTTCTTCAATATTCAGAACTCATAGGATATTTGATTACTGTATATACAAAATTATTGCTCAAATGAGATTCCTTGTTTTATTTCTCATATATTAAATGGAAAGATTCGAACCTTTCCTGTATAGAATTTCAAGTCAGTATAATAAGATTCTGAGTGGCAATCTAATAATATATGTCAGAAAAAAACAAAGTCTTTCTATTTAAACTAATGCGCAGAAATATCGATGAAGTTGCTAACTACTTTCCGAATAGTATCCTTCCTGCCTTATCCATCCACTGACTTTGATCTTTATCTACTCAGGTTTAATACTCTTTCTCCTGATACTTTATGCATAGAGGTAGGAGGGTGGGCAACAGAACATCTTTCCCCCCCGTACCCTCCCCCCACTTCCCTTCTATTTATTTCGAGTTTCCTTATCCTCTAATCATAACTCCGGTCATCGGAAGAAGTGGGCTGTGCCCACGAAAGCTCATGATACCATCTACATGTTTTGTTAGTCTATAAAGTGCTACCAGATCATTTGCTTCCTGTTTTTTTTTCTGTAACACTAACTCGGCTACCCCCTGAAGCTACAGAAATAAAAGTTACAAGTCTGAATGGAATAGAAATTCAGATTTCAGTATTACTGTTAGAATCATTTTTCAGTCCACACTGGTTGAGAAATTACATACATTACAGTGTGGGCATGTCTACATAGCAGGGCTAAACTAGAAATAAGCTATGCTAATTGCATAGCTCAAGTCAAAATAGCTTATTTCGGCTTTTGGCAATGTCTAACCGTTGTTTTTTCACAATCGAGCACTCTTCCCTAACTTCCCTTACTCACACACTCCTAGATTTACAGGAGTCAGAGTAAGAAGCCCATTTTTTCTAATGTATTTTGAAATAACAGGCTTGTTGTGTAGACATGCACTACGTTATTTTAGAATTACTAATGTTATTCCAAAATAATACTGCATCGACATGCCCCATGTGTGCTAAACAATGCTGATGAAAGTTGGCATTGAGTCCAGAGATTTTGCCACCATTCTGTTACCTGCACGATCCCAGTAAGGCAAGTCATATGTTCCTTCAGCTTTCTTCTTCCTGGAAAAAGTAAAAAATTGAGCACATTTTTCTACCATTTTCAAATACAAAAACATTAATACTGATTTAACAAACATTTTCCTGCAGAAGAAAAACTGACAAGTTAGAGCACTAAAATGTTTACAGATTAGTATGAGTTCTGTAATTCCTGATCACTGGTGGCAATTGTTGGAGGATACGAAGCTGGAACATTCCAATTTCAGCTCTCTGCAAGCTTTTCCTCACTTGGACAACAGGACAGGAGATCACTGGGCTCCTATACTAGGATGGATCCCTTTGGGTTGACTGGAAAGTGAAAATCCTGATTGCTCGCTCTTGGCTGTAGCTGGTGCTCAAGTTTGAAAATATAAATCCACAGCAAACTAATGTCACCCAAAAATTCAAGAAAAGCATCAATAGAGGCAACCTTCATAATACCAATCAATAAAATGTGGAGTCTTCAAAATGCAGACCCTTTCCTCTTTGTACATGAGACTATTTAAAACTAATACATCACTTCTGGAAATGATTTAACTACAATTTTCATACTTATATATGCAGTGTATTTTATACCTATAGATTACATTAAAGTATTTTACATGAGTGCTAATTATTTATTCATTTACCGGTTTCTCCAGTGCCACGCACACACTAAGATCAGAATGAAAGAAGTGAAGACCATCACCAAAACTGGAACCAGGACTGCTGCCAGTGCCACATCTGAAATCCATTAAACAAAAGTGTAGGACAGAATAACTTTTTGCATTTTTGGTTCATAAGTTCTTTGGGAAAGACACCATAATTTTCTGTGTGTTTTGTACAGCACCTAACACAAGGGGTCCTGACCAGGCTGGCCTCTATATGCCACCTTATTTTAAATAATAATAATGCATTTAACGCTCAGTCTTTCCATATATGTTCAATCAGCAGCTTTTATAAGTTACGGCCTCAGACTCAATTTCTGAAGTACAATAAAACTCCAATTGTCCGGCAACCAGTGGTCCGGCACTACCTGATAGTCCAGCACCAACTGGAACCTGGAAGTGCTCTGGCCAGCCAGACAATTGGAGCCACCCAGAGGCGGCAGCAGAGAGGGGGCGAGAGGCAGGTAGCTGTTTAAGGAAGGAAAGGGAAGGGGCGTCGAACCCTCCGCTTTGTTGCGGGGAGGCAGTGGAAGCCCCATGCAGCCGGCTTGCTAGCGGGGAAACTTGTAAGCAGCGGAGAGGGGGCGAGAGGCAGGCATCATTCCCTGCCAACCCCCTTCTCCCCCACAGTCCTGACCGCCAGCCTTAAACAGCTGCCTGCTTCTCACCCCCTCTCCGCTGCCTGCCACTTACAAAGTTTCCCCATTTGCAAGCTGGCTGCATGGGGCTTCCACCCCCTCCCCGCAACACGGCGGAGGGTTCGCCCTTCCCCACGCCGTTCCCTGCCGACCCCCCCACGCAGTGCAGGTTCTGGCAGATCTATCACAGCACCCCGCCGGAGTACCTCCTGATACTCCAGCATATCCGATAATCTGGCACCCCCTGGGTCCCAAGGGTGCCAGATTATCGGAAGTTTACTGTATTTGTTTATTTTAAAACAAAGTTCAAATTACTATTTGCCTCAACATCAATCTAAAGAAAATTAGAAAACAGGAATATGCAAATCTAAACTAAGGATGCTAAGTAACAGTTATTTTACTAGTCAAGTAGTTCATTGAATTTCCATCGACTACTTGACAGGCACTTCTGCATCCCTCCTTTGAAATGTACAAGAGCCCCAGTAGGGCTCTTGTACATTTCAAAGGAGGAAAGCAGAACTCCGCATGCATCCCGGGGCCAGTGGGAAGTCCCACTGACTCCGGGCTGCATGTGGTGCCAGCTTTGAAATGTACAAGAGTCCGCAGTTGGGGCTCCTGTGAATTTCAAAGCAGCAGCGCAGCATGAAGCCCAGGGTCAGTGGGGGACTCAAAGTCCCCCGCTGACCCCGGGCTCCATGCTGTGCTGTTGATTTGAAATGCCACAAGGAGCCAGAGTCAGCTGGAGACTCCCCTCAGTTGATCCTGGCTCCGTGCAGGCATTTCAGCACAACCCGGGACCAGATGGGGACTTTCCAGCTGACAGAGTTCTGCACAGCATTTCCCCAGAACCCAGAGATATCCTGGGCCCAGCTGTGTGGCGCTGCCGCTTTGAAGTACCCCCTTTTTCGCTGCCTCTATTTGATAGAGGCAGCAAGGGGGAGGAATCGACCTATTGGATCATCGACTAGTCCTTAACATCCCTAACCTGAACAGTTTACAGTACTTAAAATTGCCTTGAAGGTGTCAATGACATTCCAACGGCTTGTGGATGGTTCTAGCTCCCACAGCTCCTGTGAGCATGGAAAGGGGCCCAAGCCCTGCTGCTGCCCTGTGCAAGCCCCTCCCTTCCCCAGTTTGGTTCACATTGTTGGGGGGGGGGGGAGAGAGGCTTTTGGCAGGGGAGGGGTTGGCCTAGGGCACTGGGAGGGAGGATGCTCTATGCCCGTGTCCCCTAGGGATGATCTTGCAAACTTGTGAACTTACCAAATCTTTTTTAAACCCAGTTATGCTACTGAACTTCACAGCATCCACTGGCAATGAGTTCCTCAGGTTGACAGTGTGTTGTGTGAAGAACTACTTCCTTGGTTTTGTTTTAAACAAGATACCTATTAAATTTCCTTGGGTGACCCTTAGTTCTTGTATTATGTGAACAGGTAAATAACATTCCTCTACTCATTTCTTCGACACCATGATTTTATAGAACTCTTACTATACCTTCTTTAGTCATCTCTTTTCTAGGCTCAACAGTCCCAGTCTTCTAAATCTTTCATATAGAAGGTGGGCCACACCCCACTGTTCCCCTGGATTTGTATATCTGAGGGCAGACTGTCACTATAAATACCGTCCTCACCCCCCATCATATGGGTTTCTACTATAGTAATATAAATATTTAAAGACAAAAAATTGAGTGTGATATATTTTGTTACGAAGCAGCCTGGGAACAAAATAAATTCTGAGCACCATAAAGGGCAGAAAGTAAATCCCATATTTGGGATTTACATGTACATAAACTACATTGGCATAAGAGAGCTAATGTGAGTGAGGTACTATCTTGGGCCAACTTTTGTTGAGACAAACTTTTGAGCTACACAGCGGAAGAGTTCTGTGACGCTTGAAAACTCTTGTTTCACTAACAGAAGTTGGTCCAAAAAAGGTAACACTTCACCCACCTTGTCTCCAATATCCTGAAACCAACAGCAATGGAAAATAAGTTCACATAAGACCTTTTACTATCATTCTCAAATACTATCACCACTTAAGACTTGATACCTTTGGTTACACTTGGAGTCACAGTAGTGTTTTTGATCTCAGGACTGGAGGTTGTTTTATCAGTCTGGATGGAGAAGTCGTTGCTACTTTGTGATGTCGGTGGTAGTGTAAATTTTGGAGCCCGAACTGTATAAATATATTTAGGAAAAAAAAAAAGATTACCCAATCATCGTGCTGGTTTACATACAAGAAGCTCTCTTTGTACGGAAGGAAAATGCTGCCAATTTACCAGAGCACTTTTCTGACTTATCAAAATGAACATGAGCCCATGACAAGAAAAAGCAAATTACTAGGATCCTTGATACAAAGATCTTAACCATGTAGCACCTTCACACAGGCATTTTCCAAGCTGTATAAATGTTAATCCAGTGGATGTTAAATGATCAGATTAGATTTACTGCATGTCCTCAATACATTATTTTAGAGGAAAAAAAGTTTTGAGCTAATTTCTTTCTAAAAACAAGTCCAGAAGTTAAGTGATATTTACAAACATTCTAATGGTTCACAGTGATTTCTTACACAGCTGAAACATTTTTAATTTCTTACCTATGCTAAACTGACATCCTAGCAGTTCCACTTTCATTGCAATTTTCTGATGCCATTTTAAGGGATTAACCCTAACAAAACGTGCAATAATGGGTGGGATGAAGTTATTGCGAACTTCCTGATGATATTCAGTGTTTCCTTGAAATATCTAGAAAAAAGAAAAAAACCACCATTAAAACTGAATTATTAGCTCAATGTATGCTACACCAGTTCATTGTTCACTATGAAAGATTTACCAATTTCAATTAACCAAATAGGCAGTGCAATTTAATTTGAGTCTCCCTCCTGTTTCCTTGAACAACTGATCAACCTTCTCAAAAAGAAAGAGTGACTAATTGCAGAGTACCCAGTCTGGGAAGCTAATGATCCAACTAGTGGACCAAATTCAGTGATGAATCCTGAGCAGAGAACACCTGAGGCACCTTGGGCATACACTAAGAAGATTGCAGAGAGTATGAACCCAAAAAGACATTTACCTGTGTAACGAGTGTTCTTCGAGATGTGTTGCTCATGTCCATTCAACATAGGTGCGTATGCCTGCCACATGCACCAGTGCTGGAAGTTTTTCCCTCAGCAGTACCCATAAGGGCCAACAGTGGCACCCATATGCTATACTATATAAGACACTCCCTGGCCCCTTTGGGCACATCTACTGAGAGGCTGAGGAACATCATGAACCAATGCTGCCACGGCCACACTGTGTACACTGGAAGAAGAGAGGGAAAGGGTACAGCAGGTGGCCTGACCATCGAATGTATCCATTCTGGAGCAATGACTGTTTCCGAAAGGAGCGGAACCTATGACATTTCCTGTTGCTCCAAATGGCAAACAGGTCCACGTGGGGATAACACAACTTCTGGAAGATGGAGAGGGTGATATCTGTCTAAAAAGACTACTCGTGGGTGTTGAAAGAGCGGCTGAGATAATTGGCCAAAGTGTTCTGGGCCTCCAGCAGGTGGGAGGCCTGCAGGTGGATTTGGTGAGTGATGCAAACGTCCCACAGGTTGAGTGCTTCATGGCAGAGGGGAGAAGAGTGAGCACCATCCTGTCTGTTTAGATAATATATTGTGGCCTTTTTGTCCATCAGCATGGCCATGCTCTGGTCCCATAGATGGTGAAGGAAGGCCTGACAAGCAAGGCGAACTGTCCTGAGTTTCCTGACATTGATGTGCAGGGGGAGTTCTGCCTGACACCACAGCTCCTGAGTACCAAGTCCACCCAGGTGCGCTCCCCAACCCATCTCCAAAGCATCTGTGAACAGAGACAGGGAGGGTTGGGGGCTAGTGAGCTCCCCTCCCTCCCACGCCACACACACACTCACTTATCTCTTGGGGGCTGCAGCCCCCAATTCAGAGAGTAGAGAACTGACTCTTACGGTGACCAGAACATCGAGCGGATCCCTGTTGGGCCTGTGGACCATGGCAAACCAGATCTGGTGGGGCCAAAAGGCAGAATCTGGTGTTCCATACGACAAACCTGCAGGCCACTATGTAGCCCAGGAGACTTATGCAATTCCTGGCCATAGTGGTAGGGAAACACTGCAGGGTGGGAATAATCTCTGTGAGCATGTGAAAGTGGAACTCAGGGAGGAATGCCCTCACATGGATATGAACTCTATACTCTGAGCCAAGACCGGCTGAGTTTGGGAACGCTGAGACTAAGACCCAGTGTGGCAAAGGTTGCCTGTGCCAGCATTAGCCAATCATTGAGGTATCTGGACTTTGCGTAGAAAGGCAGTGAACACTGTCATGCGTTTCATGAACAACCTTGGTGTCATGGAGATGTCAGCAGAGGGAACTGTGAACTGGTGGTGGCAGCCACCGGCTACAAACCTTAGAAATGGCCGGTGTACAGGAATGACGAAAATATGCATCCTTCACATTGAGGGCAGCATACCAATCTTCCGGATCTAGGGAAGGGATGATGGAGACCAGGGAAGCCATAAAGAACTTGAATTTCTTCACAAACAAGTTCAGCTTTGAAAGATCTACAATGGGCCTGAGCCCACCCTTGATCTTGGAGATAAGGAAATATTGGGAATAGAAACCGCAGCCCCTGAATTCCTGAGGAAACTCCTCTATCTCCCCTAACTCCAGGAGGGACTGAATTGAGAAGCTGCTTGTGAAAAGGGTCCCTGAAGAGGAACGGGGAAGGGAGGTGCAAGGGCAGAGAATTGGATGGAAAATCCTGCCTCTACCGGGCTGAAGACCCAACGATCTAAGGGAATACTGGCCCAGACACATTAAAAGTGGGATCGATGACTGCCAAACTGGGGGACAGGTCTGGAAAGTGGACTGGTGCGCTGTCCTTGAGCACACCTTGTTTTAGGGCCAGAAGGTGGTTTAGAGTGGCCCTGTCCCTGGCTGAGGAGGAGTGGGAAAGCTGCCACCGACCGCTATTTCTGCCCCATCTGCAGGAATAGTCTTGCTGGAAGGGGCCCTGGGAGAAGTGTGAGGGAACCTGGGACCTAAACAGTTTGCCCTGAGGTGCTGGTGTGTGACTCCCAAGAGACTTAAGAGTTTACTGGGAGTCCTTAAGGTTGTGCTGTCTCGCCTCTGGTTTTTCAGAGAAGAGACCCACATAGTCAAAATGGAGATACTGGATAGTAGTCTGGACTTCCAGAGGGATACCAGACACCTGCAGCCAGTTGTTGCACCTCATGGGGATCCCTGTAGCCATTGATCTAGTGACTGAGTCAGAAGAATCCAGGGCCACTTGAAACCAAGTGTGGGATACAGTCTTGCCCTCCTCCAGGGCTGCCATGACTCCGGGCGCAAATCTGCAGGTAGTTGCTGAAACGCGTACAGCACATGCCAAGAACTGTAGGAATAGCAGCTCCATGGTGCTTGTTGATTTGAGCTGCAAATCTGGAGCCCCCGCAGTTGAACAGACCTTACGGCTGATGAGGTCCAGCTTCTTTGCCTCCTTGTTTTTAGAGGCCAGCCTGAGCTGCCCCTGCTGCTTCTTATAGTTACCCACGTCAACTACGAGGGATTCAGGAGGTGGGTGAACAAAAGGTGTTTATACCCTTGCTGGGGAACAAGTAGCATCTTTCCACATCTTCATCATCAGAAGAAGGGAGGCTGGGTTCTACCACACCACCCTGGTGGTAAACTGGATAGTCTTGAGGGGCAAAAATGTCCACCGCTGATTCTGCATCTACCATGCCTCTTCTGTGGGCACATTTAGATTGCAGGCCACCTGCCACAAAAGGTCCTGACGTTATCTCGCATCAGGGGCAGGAAGCGATAAGGACGTATCTGCAACAGTCTTGTCTGGAGAGGAAGATTCCCGTGGGGGAGGATCATCCGGTCCTTTGGGGTTCCTCGTGTCCCCAGAGACACTGGAAGGCTGAGAGGCTAGTGGTTCAGTGGCTGTTGGCAAATGCTGAGTCATCATTTGAACTGGTGCAGATTTAGGGTCCTTCAGGGAAAATCAGGAGCCACTATAGTAACCACAAGTGCCTGATGGAATGAGGCTGCCGAAGCTTCTCATGACACCAGGCCCTGACCCTGATGGTAAGCCCAAGGCATCCAAAATGGTTACTGTGCAAAGACCTACCACAATGGGGGACCAAGCCAGTGGTGGGGCCGGAGGAACTTCCCACTTATGGCACTGGGAGCAGGAACTGGAGCAGTACCAGCCACTGCAAGACACAACAGACTCCACCTCTGACACCGACGTATACTCTGCGGCTGACCATGGCTTGCCTCAGTGCCGTACGGTGGCTGGTGCCTGCATGAGGACTGGTGACTGCGAGGACAGTGCCAGAGGCCAGGGCAGAGCATAGTAGCCCACAGTTGGTTTCAGTGCCAGAGGCACAGACTGCAACGGAGCCAGGGCTGCATGCTGTCTCATTCAGATAAGGTATCCAGCATCAAAGAGAGGTCCAGGTGGTCTTTGAGGACTTTCTGCCCAGGGGAGCCCAGTGACACCATGCCATTGATGGCCTCTCCCTCGGGGTCGGAGTCAGTGCCAGTAGCTCTATACTGTCCTGAAGATGACCCACTGCAGGGTGCACCGACAGACTGTGTGATTGCTGGTCGCCTTGGCTGGAAACTGGTCTCTGCTAGGCCTGACCTCCTTATGCAGCACTGGAGATGGAGAGAGGTGATGGGCAGAGGAGCTTGTCTTGCGTGCTGGGGAGTGATGCTAGTGCTCTTTTGGGCCTTCTTTATGAGGTACTGATGTGTCCCACTGAAGCTGGTGCATTCTGCACAGAAGCCGGTAGGGATGTTAGCGACTAATCGACTAACCAATAAGCAGGAGCTTATCAATTAGCACTATCGATTAGTCGCATCTCCCAGCCACCACTCTGCATTGTACAGCTGAGAGAAGCCAGTGTGCGAAGGTGCCGAGTAAGTCTGTCCTCCCCATGTTTCTTTTCATTCATCACCCCTCTCCCCCTCCCACACAGATACCAGCTGCCACTCTCCATTGAACAGCCTAGGGAAGCCGCACGCTAAGGTGCTGAGTCAGTCCTTCCTCCACGTGTTTCTTTTCATTCAGCCTGGTGAGTCTGTGTGCATGTGGTTATGAATGAACAGAAATGAACGGAGCAGGGACTGACTCAGCACCTTCATACTCAGCTTCCCTAGGTTGTGCAATGCAGAGCGGCAGCTGGGGAGTTTATGGTGTGAACTGCGCCAGACTGAGCGCTGCCTACCCTTATTGACTAATCGACAGAAAATCTGACGACTAATCGATTAGGAAAGTAATCACATTTTAACAACCCTAGAAACCAGCACTCTACACACTGAAAACAACTGTGTTGAGGTCCATCCAGCACAGGGTGTTGAACTGCTGACTCCACGAGCAAGAGTTTCCAGTGCTGATCTTGCTCTTTTAGTCCGAGGCTTGAAATTCCTACAAATACTGCACTCTCGGCTAACTAACTGCCAACAGTATTAACTACTGAAGTATATACAAGAAATGGGTAAAAGAAACATCTTGCAGAGCAAGAGCACAAGCGCTCCACCGATCATCAGTGTTGATAAGAAGGAACTGAGGAGGTAGCGGGCCAGCTGAGCCCCATCTACCGCACCATGCAGGTGTCACTTTAGGAAGCTCCCCAGCCAGCCCAATGAGTATCGGTGGGGAGAAAAAAAGCCTTCCCATGATCATGCACACGGCACGCATACCTGTTGA